TATACTCAATAAAAATGATAATGGGAATAAAGTTCAGAAGACTGCGTCGCGTAGGTACTATTTTATAATACTTACCTAGAATCAGAATAAAATAAGAAAATCGCTACATGAGAATCGAGTAAACATCCAATGGTTTCAAAATTTGAATTTCAAACGCTCATAAAACTTTAATTTAACTTTCTTATATTATACATTTTTTTTTGATAAAGGTAGATAATCTTATAAGGAATCTTGTATTAAATTTTAAAATCTTTGAAATAAAAAAAAATTCTAACGAAATAAAATTTTACGTAATCTTAACTCAAAATAATTTGTTAATTTTCGTGATTTTTCCATATTCTGTCAAGATTTGAACTTTAAATACTTAAAAAAAAAAAAAACTGTGGCAAAGGATTTTTAATATTTTTCAAATGTCAATGTAACAATATAGTAGGAGACTTGTATTAAATTTTCAAGTATTTTTACTCAACAAATAAATTTTTATTGATATTCATAAAAAAAAGCTAATAAAATTGGAAACTGAAAATGTCCCTAAACAGTTTAAAATCAAAATATTTTGAAAATTTTATCGTGTATAGAAAATGCAAATATAAATAACCAGTGAAAATTACATGTATCTACGGTCATTTGTTTTAAAGTTACACCAAAAACCAAATTCAATTTTTTGAAAAATCGATTTTGCGTAAAAATTCCCGTTTTTCCTTAATTTTTTTTTTGTTTTCTTAGCGCTTTTGAAAATTACTTTGAACATAAAAATTAAGGAAAAACGGGAATTTTTACGCAAAATTGGTTTTCCAAAAAATCGATTTTGGTTTTTGGTGTAACTCTGAAACAAATGAACGTATATACATGAAATTTTCACTGGTTGTTTATATTTGCATTTTCTATACACGATAACATTTTCAAAATATTTTGATTTATTTTGAACTGTTTAGGGACATTTTCATTTTCCATTTTTTTTTAGTTTTTTTTCTAAAAATATTAATAAAATTTTATTTGTTGGTTGCGAAAGCTTGAAAATTTAATAAAAGGCTCCTAATATATTGTTTCAAAGGCAGATGAAAAATATTAAAAATTCTTAGTCACAATTTTTTTTATAAGCATTTAAAGTTCAAAAATTGACAAAATATGGGAAAATCACGAAAATTAGCAAATTATTTTGAGTTAAGAATTCGTAAAAATTTTTCTTTTTAAATCTAAGATTTGAAAATTAAACACAAGATTCCTTATAAGATTATCTAGCTTTATCAAAAGAAAAAAGTCTATAAGAAAGTCAAATTAAATTTTTATGAGCGTTTGAAATTCAAATTTTTACAACATTGAATATTCACTCGATCTCCCATGTAGCGATTTCCTTATTTTGTTGTAATTCAAATACGAATAACTGTAGATACATGAAAATTTCACTGAATGTTTATATTAGCATTTCCTATACACCATACAATTTTGAAAATATTTTGACTCTTTTTGAGCTGTTTATGGACCTTTACAGCTTTCAATTTTTTTTAGTTTTTTTTTCTATAAATATCAATAAAGTTTTATCTGTTGGGCCAAAAAGTGTAAAAATTTAATACAAGGCTCCTGATATATTATTACAATAGGAGTTGAAAAATATTAAAAATACATAGGCACAGTTTTTTTTTATAAGCATTTAAAGATCAAATGTTGACAAAATTTGTCAAAATCTCGAAAATTATCAATCATTGAAATTAATAAATTATAAAATGTTCAGTTTTTATAGCTAAGGGTTGCAAATTCAACACAAAGGTTCTCGTAAATAGTTCATACTGTAACCAAAAAATCTAAAAAAATATATGAACACACTTATGTTTTACAGACATTTCAATTTCAAATTTAGACAAAATTTCATATTTAAACCAAGAATAACTATTTTAGTTATTTTGTTGTGATTGAATAATATTATTCGTGGATACTTGAAACTTCTAAAGTGTACTATTATATATCTATGATAGTATCACGGTTTTTGTTGATGTATAACGCGTTATAAGTACCTAATGGATATTTTGATATGATTAATTTTGGAATTTATTATAGGTACCTACCTATTATAGGTCAAATTTTGGTTTAGTACCATAGATATGTATAATGTATATAATATGTCTTATACCTAGACTGACATACTGTCTCCGCTCAGAATCGTTTTTCTTATACAATGATATTATATCGTTGAATTCAAATTTAATATCATCCATTATACAGTGACCCACTTGTAACCTACTGTACAGCAGAGCGACACCCACTTGCCCACCTTTTTTTTTCTATAAATATCAATTAAGTTTTATCTGTTGGGCCAAAAAGTGTAAACAATTTAATACAAGGCTAATGATATATTGTTACAATAGCAATTGAAAACTAATAAAAATACATTGGCACAATTTGTTTTTATAAGGATTTAAAGATCGAATTTTGACAAAATTTATCAAATTTAAAATTAAATATTTATTTTGTGGTTAAAAATATATAAAATGTTCAACTTTTATATCTAATGATTGGAAATTTAAAACAAGATTCCACGTATATAGTTATAATTCTGTTACCAAATAATCTAAATAATACATAAGCACAGTTTATTTTTATAGTTATTTTAAGTTCAACTTTGGACAAAATTACTTAAAAAAAACCTAGAATAACCATTTTAGTTATTTTGTTGTGATTGTGTAATATTATTCGTGGGTACTTGAAACTTCTAAAGTACACTATTATATATCAATGGAGTATGGACTGTGATAGTATCAGGGTTTGATGTTGACGTATAATGCATTATAACTTATAAGTACCTAATGGATATTGTGATATGATTAATTTGGAATTTATTATAGGTACCTTTTTGAGGTAAATTTTTTTTAGTACGATAGATAAGTACCTACCTATATAATATGTCTTATACCTAGACTGACAAAACCGTCTCCGCTCAGAATCGTTTTTCTTATACAATGATATTATATCATTGAATTCAAATTAATACTATCCATTATACAGTGACCCACTTGTAACCTACTGTACAGCAGAGCACCTTTTTTATTTTGTAATTTCGTCCAAATTTGAATTTAAAATGTCCGTAAAAAATAACTGTGTTCATATATTTTTTAGATTTTTTGATTACAGTATGAACTATTCATGAGAACCTTTGTTTTAAATTTACAATCCTTAGCTGTCTGTTACAAAACCAAAATCGATTTTGTCAAAAATTTACTTAATTTTTTTTTGTTTTTCCCTGCGCTTTTGAAAACTACTGGACATTTTAAATTATTACATCGAAAATAGAAGCATTATTTCGACTGTTACCCGTTTGACCGCCACTGCTATAGGTGCACAGGAATTGCCTCTCTTGAATATTATTTCTTAAAAGGTTAATCGAATTGCCTCCAACTTTCAAAAATATCTTTTACTTGAATTGCCTCCTATTTTAGGTAGTTACCACACAGGGAGCAATGGAGCATATACATATAATTGAACAATAAAAAACATCTTATTGTTAAAATCCCTTTTAATAACGCCTCACGCTAACTGAATAGGTAGGTACTTAACAAAATGTTTATAATATAAATAGGTAGTAATATTTATTTTATTATTTAAGTATGTATACTTTTTAAGCAGAATTTTCTATTTTAACATTTTATAAGTACTAACTAGATCTTCAGTTCCTTCCAGAAAAGATATGAAGAAGAAAATCAAAGCATTATTTCGAAATTTTGATTATTTATAAGTAGTAAAAAATTCATTGAAATTTGAAATTCATTGAAAAAATATATATATATTTTTTATCGTATATTCTCAAAATAAAATAAAAACACATAATTAATGATTGTAAAATCAATACATTGGTCGCTTAGGTGAGAATCTGAATTAATACATACCACGTAGAATGGTTTGAATAGGTTTGTAGTAAGTATATATAACTTAAAATCAGTCTAAATATTTTAAAATTTAATTTTGTGTACTAAAAATTAACACACGTAAGTACGTCGAAATATTTTAAGTATCCATTTTAAAATTTTTGAAACAACAAAATTACATAAGACGTTATCAAAATTATAAATACAAAAATATAAAATATAAAGATAATAAAAATGCTATATAATTTATATATTTTTGAAATAAATTATGAAATTGCTGTAGGATCTAAAAGTTATGGAAAATATTTTATTAATCGTCAAGCTTCATACACTTCATGATAAAAATTGTTTGCATTTTTTACTATAAATACATACTTTTAATACTAAATTGGGTATTTGTATATTTACGATATTTTTAGTTCAACATAATTTATGAAAAATCTTGTACTACAATTTCAAGCTTTTTGATAAAGAAACATAAATTGTTACAACATAGATTGAAAAACTTCACCGCTTTTTATAGTTATAACTTAAAAGTTTGGCATAATATTCTATGTCAATTGTGTATTTGTGTATTACAGAGTATGAAATATTCAGTTTCTTTCATATAATTTCATAAGTACCTAGTATCTATTCATTCAGACCCACTATTCAGTTTATTAAGAGAACGCTACACAGACATTTGTTGTCTCGCCGTCTTACTAGTGTGTAACCGATGTGTAACATAGCAAATTTTACGCTGAGCAGATCACGTTTCACTCCGGTAGTTTAAAAAATAGAGTGAATTGACCTCTTATAACATGTAAAGGTAAGATCATAGATACAATTTTAAAATTGTAATTTGTTTGTACATCTTAAAATACTCATAACTCTTTTTAAAATTAAAATATAAAAAAAGTCTATCAGATGCCCTAATTAATAATCCCACCTTAAAATGGTATAAGGGTTCAATTCACTCTAATTTTTAAACTAATGGAGCTAAATGTGATCTGCTGTTACTGATCATACAATTGACTATGTTACTCACGTATATGACGGAGACAACAATTGTCCTAGCAGCGTTCTCTTAAGACCTGCTCACATTGTCGTTAAAAGAACAAAAAAAACAAAAATAATAATTAAAGAAAATAATTTAATTTTCAGTGAAAAGGCAATTGTTGAGATATCAAAGTGCAATAACTGGTCTATTTCCAGTATTGTCGGATGACGAGAAAGTGGCCAGCGTTAGAGATAGCGTGTATTGTGCTGCTGCGATTTGGAGTTTATTTCAAGCGTATAGGTAATATATTTATCCAATATTTTATTTAAGACGTATAATGAAGCAAAATATTTTTGTGGATTAATACCTAACTACTAATTATGTATGGTTATTTAGTTATCTTGAATGATCGCTGTAGGCCATATGTCATAGTGCATACTGCGTACTGTAAAATATTCTCCAATGTATTATATAGCTGTATTCAACGTATACAAATCAAATAAAGTCAAATATTTAGACGAATTAAGTTAGAGGTAATATATTGTCAAATTGATACATTTTTTTTAATTGTACATATACACAGGCGAATAGATGACGACAGAGGGAAATCTTATGAGTTGGGTCAGTCTGCGGTGAAATGCATGAGAGGAATATTGGCATGCTGGATAAGACAGGCGGATCTGATAGAATGCTTCAAAAAACATCAATGCAATAAATTTGCATTACACTCGAAGTTTAATTTAAAAAATGGTGATGTTGTTCACTCTGGTGACGGATATCCTCATTTACAGGTAATTAATATTGCACCTTGTTAATTTAACCTTGCACCTTGTTAGTATTTTGGTTTGTGGAGAATAATAGTTACTCTTTAATAGTTTAGGACTCAAAATAATGTATGTATCTAAATGTGTATACAATTATTTGCTTAATATTTTTAACTCATAAGGACCACTTACTTGTTGTTTCATTACAGTATAGAATAATAAGAATTATTCAATTTGGATTTAAATTTTCTTTTTTGTTATGCAATTTTTATTTAAAGTTGTTTAAAAATACAACAATAGGTAATCGATAAAAGTATAAATTATAGCTATAAATAAAGCAAAATAAAGTTAAGAAATGTATTTTATAAAATAAAAAATACATTATTGATACATAATATTATTATTATATGGGTATTGGGTAATTATAGATAATTATAGATAATTACAGAATATAGATCTAACTTAATTTTAAACTTATTTTCAACGTTTATTATTTCATTATATTGGATAGTGCTTGAGTTGTAATTATTAATTTCTTAGGTATGTTTTAATTATTTGATAATAGGTAATAATAAGTTTTCAATAGAAATTATACAATAAATACAATCAACTTAACTAATTCTTTCCATTTTCCATTTTGGTATTATAATTATGGTAGAAAGGTTACCATAAGTTCTAGATTAAAACGTTTTGAAATTTAGGTACAATTTATTTATGGAGAATAGAGATAACACATTTTAAATACCTAGTTCAGGCGTTTAGTGCCTTTCACAACAAATATCCCTCGATTCTAACGCACCGCACAACGTTTTTTACTCAGACCAGCGGTTCACAATTTTGGCTGGTATTCAATTTTAAATTTCCTGCCGTAATTAGATGCAAGTTTTGGAAACTTTAGCGAAAAATCACCACCTGGCGCGTGGTTACTATCCACGGCAATTTGTTGTGAAATGCACTTTAATAATATGATGTCACATTGTTCATGATTTGATGCTAACCGAAGCTGTAACACACGAATAAATTATTCGTTCTGAAATAATAAAATAATATATGTTGTTGAACGAATTTTTAATGAAATATCTACATTTTATTTGCATTTGTATAGAAACTCGAATAATTTTAAATTCTAAAACATTACAATATAAACCTTTTATAGTAGATACATTGTACATTGTATGTATACATATAGGCGTATTATATTATCTATAACAGGTATGGGAGATTTGAAATGTACCTAACTTACCTATACCTATATTGTATAATTTATGTAATTAATTTAAATTGCTTATTCTTACACAGATTGATGCCGTATCGTTGTATCTAATATATTTGGTCCAAATGACTACATCAGGGTTGCAAATAATTTATACGAAGGACGAAGTTGCGTTTGTGCAAAATTTAGTATACTATATAGAACGCGCGTACAGAACGCCAGATTACGCTATGTGGGAACGTGGTAGTTCGTACAATGATAACACACCTGAAATTCATGCAAGGTTAGTATTCTGTATTTCCGCCAAGTTTAAGTCATTATGACTCTTAAACACTTTTATTGAATTGACAAAAATTGATCGTAAATATAACAAATATAGGTAATTATTAAGATCTCGACTTTTGGAAGATGATACTTAAAAAATTATATTTTCAGACTGATTTAAACATTACGCACGTAATCAGGCGCAGATCCAGAACTAAAATTAAGGGGGTCATTTTTTCGAAAAGATAAAAAGATAAAACACAATAAATTAATAAATAATGAAAGTAAATTACTAAGGATATCGGTGGATATCAGTTATTTTAGACAAAACATACCAATGTTCGTTATAATACTGATCTACCTAGTAATGCGATAATACTTTTTAAAAGTTCTATACATTTGGTTTGAGTATTTTAAAATATAGGTATTTTCAAACGTTGATTATTCAGAATTCAAATCAGAAATCTTAAAATGAGAACCGATCTTTCGAGTACCCAATACACGATACCGATTCAAGTCAGTTTTCAAAAGTATTATAGCATTAGTAGGTCGATTGGTAGGATGGACTTGGACTAAAAGTACATACATAATATGAGCATAAATTATTTACCGTTCACGTGCACACGAAACGTAATTTACAGAAATAAACTATTATATAAAATAAACTAGTACATTTTACACACATTCCAATATATTTTTTACTACCATTTTTATATAAAACATCACATTCAATGAGTATTAGTGTATGTTTTCGGATGTTAACATCGATATTAAACATAAAATTAATTTATACAAATTAATACTTACGTTTGAAATTTGATGCCACGACACATAAAGATAACAACACGATATTTGTATCATATTAGTTAATTGATAAAATATCGTTATGGCGTTCAAACGTAATGATAATAGTTTTGTCCCAAGTTGGCCCCTTTGACGGTAACTAAACCACGTTAAAAAATATATAGCAAGTGCTAAATGCCTAAATCGAATTATTGACTTGCGTTTGGCCATCTAGGTTGAATTAAAAACAAAGCTAGGTATACTGATGCCGATTTGTCCATGAAATGAGGTAGATACACTAAAACTGAGATATACTCTAACCGAGATACACCTATATAGCGTATCTATATACTATATATATGATTTAATATTGGATTAAAGACTTGATAACATTTTTTTGACTTTAAGCTAACTTTTTTTTCTATTGACCGTAGAAAAACTTATGAGAAACTTGTATTACATAAGTAGAACATTTTTATGAATTTCGAACTCAAAATAAATTCTTACTTCAGGCGCCCATAAAAAATTATTGAGGACCTAAAGTACGGTTGTTCAACTTTTATATCTAAGGATTGAAAATTTAAAACAAGATTCCACGTAAGTAGTTAATTCTGTTACCAAATAATCTAAAAAATACATAAGCACAGTTTATTTTTATAGTCATTAAGTTCAAGTTTGGACGAAATTACATAATATAAAACCTAGAATAACTATTTTAGTTATTTTGTTGTGATTGTGTAATATTATTCGTGGGTACTTGAAACTTCTTAAGTGTACTATTATATATGATATATCTATGATAGTATCACGGTTTGTTGTTGATGTTTAACGCGTTATAACTTATAAGTACCTACCTAATGGATATTGTGATATGGTTAATTTGGAATTTATTATAGGTACCTACCTATTATAGGTCAATTTTTTTTTAATACCATAGATAAGTATATAATATGCCTTATACTGACATTATAGTCTAATAGAGCGTCTAAATTAAGAGCGCTTAATCGTTTCTCTTATACAATGCTATTATATCATTTAATTCAAATGTAATACCATCCATTATACAGTGACCCACTTGTAACCTACTGTACAACAGAGTGACATCCACTCGCCCACCTTTTTTGTTGTTGTGTCTGTCATCAGTCCTTTTATGACAGTAATAATGATTTTCTTCAACGGTATCTTTTCTGATAGGAAAGTGAATTTAGTTTTTTTATGAATATCAATAAAATTGTATTTGTTGGGTAAAAAAGCTTGAAAATATAATACAAGGCTTTTAATATATCGTTACAATGACATTTGAAAAATATTAAAAATCCACAGTCAAAATTTTTTCATAAGTTTTTAAAGTTCAAATTTTGACAATAGGCGTGAACATCACGAAATTGTGCAAGTTATTTTGAGTTAGAAATTCCTACATTTTTTCTTTTCAAGTCTAAGATTTTAAAATGTAATACAACATTTTTTATCAGGTTATCTACCTTTATCAAAAAATAACTGTCTATAAGGAAGTAAAATCAAATTTTTATGAGCGTTTGAAGTTCAATTTTTACAACATGGGATAATATTCACTCGATTTCTGATGTAGCGATTTTATTATTTTGTTGTAATTTAAAAACGAATAACCTTAGACACTTGAGATTTATATCATGTTTATTTTATCAATTCCTATAGTTGATAAAATTTTCAAAATATTTTGATTAGCTTTGATGTCCGTGAAGTTAACCGCCCAACATTATCCCACCGAATACATATTTGGTCATCCTTTAGTATCTACGTCATTAGTAAGTATTTGTAAGCTCAAAATCAGAATTTATAAGTCAACAACTTTCGAATTATCCCTTAAAGTTTGCCAGACGGTCACTTCGACTTTTTGAATTTTTTTTCCACCCCTGCAAATTAGTGCATTAGAAAGTATTTGTAAGAGCAAATTTGATATTCGAAAGTTATTATTTTTTAAATCTATAGACCCTATACCAACAGCAGAGTGACATCCACATACCCGCTTTTTAACCTTGAAACACAAAAACAACGTCGAACTTTTAAGTTTTTTGCTGGAAATATTGACTGTCCTGAGTTCATTATAGTGCGGCCAGCGAAACTAGAAGCTTGACTGTCACGCTCCCGGTGGCCATTTTTCATTAGGGCTACGAAGAATGGTTTCCCGCGTATAATAATTTCAAACACTTGTTATACGTGCGCGTATCGTATATTTATACGCGTGGCTATGAAACGGGTCTTTACTTTAAAGGCATAACAATTTATACTTCTGTATAACACATTTTTTATTAATTTATTATCAAATTTTCAAACATAAAATAATAATAGTAACATTTAAAATATTTACAATTATTTACGAAATTTAATAATAAACATAAAAATCTATTCATCGTCATCGTCATCATCGTCGCTTGAACTGCTGTCGTCTGGATAAATTGTTAAAATTATTGGCTCTAATATTTCGTCCCTCAGTCCTGCTTTGTGGAAATCCTCCTCTTGAATTTTCACGCAATGTTCTCCACATTTGGCCCAATCATCAGCAGTTACCGCATCAATTTCTTTATGAACGAGTGCCTCAACATCAGCAATTTTAAATGTTGAGTTTTTTTCAGCCACTCTCCCTTTAAATTGTGCCCAAATCAATTCTATGGGATTATACTGACAGTGGTAAGGTGGAAGTCTCACCACTTCATGCCCCATTTGGTGTGTCAATTCATCCAACTTATAAATTTTTCCACGCGGCATCGCAAGTTTGACTTTCGCCCGTAATTCGTCAAGAGTTTCGACGGGAGAAAAGTCTATATTTTTGCCACGCAACCATCGCTGAACATCCGTTTTTTTACTATTTGACTTCGGGTAGTCTTCGAGTAATGCAGAATGGTATGACGCGTTGTCCATTACAATGATACTGGGCTCCTCCAAATTCATCAACATTTGCAAATACCACTTTTCAAAAATTGTAGCATTCATCTGTGAATGATAATCTTTGGTATTGCCAGAGTTACAACGAAAAATTAATTTTGCGTCTTTGACAAAACCAAAGGAAGGAGACCCAGCGTGACAAACAATAAGGCGACTGCCTTTCCCTGTAGGTACTTTTAAGCCCTCTGTATTCTCCTGGTTTTGCCAAATATGTCCCCGAGTATGATTTTGGTTAACCCAGGTCTCGTCTAAATAGACTATTGGCCGAATATCACCATTTGTACGAAGCTCGTTCATTTTACGTAAAAATTTTACGCGCGCAGCTACTATGTCCGACCGTTCCATAAGAAATTTGCGACCGTCGTTACACCTTTTGTACTTTAAATTATGTTTTTTCAAAATAATTTTTACCGATGATTTCGACCCCCGGTAATCAGTTTTTTCTCGCAATGCTGCTAAAATTTTTGCGCTTGTTGGAAATTCTCCTTTATCATAAAAGCTGTGAACCACTCTTCTAACCACTTCACTGTCGAAATCGTCAAGATTGGTGACAGGTTTGTCACGACTATAACGTTTTCTAGGTGATCGAAATTTAATATCCGTAGAACTTCCGGTACCTAACTCTTCTTCATCACCCAAAGATATAGTTTTGCTTTCCTTACAAATTCTCTGTACAGTAGACCGACTTACCCCACAAGCCTCAGCCGTCCTCTCTTGACATAATCGGAAAAAATTTGCTACTTCCGGCTGGTCTTTTTTACTGGCCAACGTTTTAAAAAAATTGTACACGTTGTATATGGTTTTTTTGGTTTGTGAATGAATATCTGGCCGGGTCGACATTTCAAATAAACAATATACGCATAAAAATAATGAAAAACCGCAAAAAAAAACAAAAATGTACAAACAAACAATATGTAACAGCTGTACAAGAAATTCGTAACAAACTCAATTCAAATTATAACAACCAGCACACACAAAAAACATGTTACACGAAGCAAAGAAGTCCAGTGACTAATATACAGATCATACAACATATGGTTTAATGGTTAGAGGTTTGTATTAAAATCTAAAGGTATTCGGCATGGGACGGTCACACAATAGCATTATACGTTATAGGGCATAGGCTATTGTACATTTTCGGAGGGTACTCAAAATTGTTTATAAAACAGCTATAACAGCTTCAACGCTTGTCTGCATCCTTAGAAAAAAATATAAAACTAACCTAACATATCCACTATAATAAAAAATATTCATTTCGATAAAAAGATCGCGCAGCTGCACAAACAACCTAAATATTTAGAACCCCTGGCTTTCACGAAAACGGTCACCGGGAGCGTGACCATCATGCTTCTAGTTTCGCTGGCCGTACTATAGTACTATAGTCGTTTTCCTCCAATATTCCTCCTACCCGTAATACTTAAAAATAAATTGTATCTTAACACAGAAGTTACTTACTGACTACTGTGCAAGCTACACTCTCCACAATAGAATTACGAAAACCGTAAACGAAATAAAACTCGTTTTTTACATTATATTCAGTGTTTTGAATAGATAATTAAAAAAATATCTAGATAAGATAACATAATTTAACAAAATATTATCTAGATAAAAATAAAGATAACGTAAATGTAATTTATGTATATAAAGATAAATACAACAATACATTTATCTAGATAAACATCTAGATAAATATAATTTTTTCACACTTATTTTTATTGTTTTTTAGTATTTTTGTAATATTAGATTTATATAAATATAATGACATAATATTTATAATAACAACGGATTGAGCCTTTGCAATACAGTTCTACGAAGTTAACTTTAATTTATTTTTAAAATGGATGGGGAAATAAACCTATACCTAATTAATTTTAGTATGCTCATTATGGCTAGTAGAGAACGATGTATAGTGCAAGCCCGCATGCAGGTTCTCGTATTATCGTAATACCGTCGTTGGCAATAATAACAAGAAATATATTCTTTTTTAATTTTATAAACAATTTATATTAGAATGTTAGTAACATTAGTTTTATAATTTTATTGGGACACTATAATATTTACCTACTACCTAGACTAGGACTGCATGCGGTTCGCTGATTGCAAGAAATTGAGCTGAGCGAGTTAAACACACCGAAGCTAATTGAACTTGTTTTTTTAATGACATGGATAATGGATTTGATAGATTCTGATAACTGAAAAGGTACAAATTAAGATGACACTATCGGTGGGACATGCTTTTGTTCGAGGAAGCGTTTTTACTCTCAAATATAACTCTCAAACATTTATATTTAATACATTTTTCTTAAATATTACAAATGACAAACCAAACTAACAAATTATAACCACGGAAGAACAACATTGTTTTTAGTATAATAATCAATTAATGTTTGTATTTATATTTGCTCCTTTTCTTAATCGAGGCATGTTTCAAGTTTATTTGTTGTGAAATTATTGATTTATGCCGGATCTATGTTTCTATGGAAACAAAATTATGGTATCAAAATTAGTTTAAATTTAGTTTTTCGGCGATTATTCCTCGATGGTAGGTCGGACATCGATCAAAACCACTTGTTGGCACTCGGCGATGTCCACACTATCACCGTACTAAGTTTGGTTCAGATCCGTTGCAAAGAAGTATGCCGTTTAGTGAACGGCTATCCCGCATATATGAGCCTATTTTTATCTAAGCTAAACATTAGATAAATCATAACATAATATTATCTAGATACTTTAAAAGATAATTTATTTCAAAAAATCTTATCTAGATAATTCCTAACACTGATTATATTATTATAATAAGGTGTACATTATAATGTTTAGTTCTATCGGTATGGCAAAAAGTGCATTGGAATCTATTAACGGATGCAATCTATTCGGTGACAAGGGAGCCTCTTGGTCTGTAATATACGTAGATATCGACGCACACAACAGGAACAGAAGTATATTCGAAACGTTATTACCTCGAGAGTCTAGTTCAAAAGTGAGTATATGCTGTTTTTGCACCTTCCAAATAACATGATATAATATTATTTATGCTACAATATTATGACGTAACGTGCTGTAGTAATATCGTTAATGACAAAATTGTGACAATACGTAATCTGTGTGATATTGTGTGGCTCCTGCCACACGATACCGTGCACTTATTATTATTATTTTTCGTAGTTGGCTCTACGCACAGACGTGATGCGACAACCAGTGTTGAGACTTACCTAGATAATTAATTAGTTATCTTTTATATTATCTTATCTAGATAAATAGTTGCGTTTTATCTTGTAATTATCTAAGACAACAAATTCATCCATCTAGATAAATTCGTCTCTATACAAAAAAATTAAATACACTTTTTATTGTCAATTTATTTTTTGATAGTTGATACTTTAAATTTGAATTGTCGTCATCTCAGTAAAAAAAAATCATGTTCATAATAATATTATATATTAGGTACCTACCTATTATTTATTATTGTTATTTTTGTTGGGGCCCAGCTTAGTGCTCAAATATACCTACATTTCATTGTTACCTTGTGTTGGTGACTCGTCAACAGTAAATTATTAGTGGACAAATTATCATAATGATTTCATTTATAACTTATAAGTTACAAGTTATTTTTAGATAGAGGAAGCTACTCAGTCAGAGCCATATACCACGTATTAATTGTGTTTTCCTAGTTCCGACGTGTATTGTACCGATACGGGTCAACTGTGTCAACTATAGACAAACAAACTGAAACGGGTTTTAAATTTTTAATCAGGTTTGGGTACGATTGATATTATAAGTAATCGAAGCTTTATAAATCTTTATATAGCAGTAATATATATTTATCAGTAATAAAAATCCTAGGTAGTGTCTAAGCTGTACTCTCAAAAGTTAGACTTTATAGTAGGTATTGAAAAAAAACATCTTTTTTTCATCTAGATCTAAACCAACACTGGCGACAACATTGGGTACACCGCTCTGCTGCATTAATCTCTCTCATTCTATTGTTTTTCATTTTTTTATAAACATTTAAAGATCGAATTTTGACAAAATTTTTCTAATTTAAAATTGAATAATTATTTTGTAGTTAAAAATATATAAAATGTTCAACTTTTATACCTAATAGGATCGAAAATTTAAAACAAGATTCCATGTAAGTAGTTAATTCTGTTACCAAAAAATCTAAAAATACATAAGCACAGTTTATTTTTATAGTCATTTTAAGTTCAAATTTTTACGAAATTCCATATTAAAATCAATATTAACGATTTTAGTTTTTTGTTATAAATTAAAAAAAATTATTCGGGGATATATGAAACTGAAAAATCAAAAAATCAAAATATTATGGCCTAACCCTACAATCTACCATAGTATAAAGAATAAGAAGTATGCTTTATGATAAGACTGTGCATATTTTTTATTACCATTGATATGTATATAATACGTCTTAAACCTATATACTGACATACCGTCTCCGCTCAGAATCGTTTTTCTCATACAATGATATTATATCATTGAATTCAAATTTAATACGATCCATTATACAGTGACCCACTGTACAGCAGAGGACCTTTTTTTAATTTAATTTAATTTTTAATTTTTTTTTTTTTTGTTGTGTCTATCATCACCTTTTACTACAGTAAAAGTGCTTAGATCTTCTTCAACAGTATATTTTCTCAAAGGAAAGTGAATCTATTTGGTACTTTGGTAGGTCAAAAGTAAAATTTTTCCAATAGTTTTCAAAAGCACCGTGAAAAACAGAAGAAAAATAATGGAATAACTAAAAAGTTTTATGAGCGTTTGAAATTCATATTTTTACAACATTAGATATTTAATCGATTTCTCATGTAACGATTTTCATATTTTGTTGTAATTAAAAAACAAATAACTGTTAATACATGAAAATTTCACTGAATGTTTAAATTTTCATTTTCTATACACCCTTCAATTTTCAAAATATGTTAAACAGTTTTGAGCTGTGTAGGATAATTTCAAATTTTAAATTTAAAGTTTTTTTTTTGTATAAATGTCAATACAATTTCATTTATTGGGTTAAAATACGTGAAAAATTAAGACAAGGCTCCTGATATACTGTTACAATAGCAGCTGAAAAATGTTAAAAATACATATGCACAATTTTTTTTTATAAGCATTTAATTTTCGAATTTCAACAAAATTTATCAAATTTAAAATTTAATAATTATTATGTAGTTAAAAATTAAAAACAAGGTTCCACGTAAATAGGTTATATATTATAAATTACTTTGTTCACCTTAATATCATCAAATATTCTTAATAATATCGTAGGCTGATTAACCGTTTTCGCTCAGAATCGTTTTTCTTATGCAATGATTTTATATCATTGAATTCAAATGTAACACCATCAACTACAGTGACCCACTTGTAACCTTCTGTACAACAGAGTGACATCCAATTAGCCGCCTTTTTATTTTTATTTTTTTATTTTTGTGTCTGTTATCACGTTTTAGGACAGTTAAAGTGCTTAGATTTTCTTCAACATTATCTTTTCTGAAAGGAAAGTGAATCTAGCTGGTACTTTAAGGATTCAAACCTAAAAATTTAATAGCAGTTTTCAAAAGCGCAGTGAAAAATTAAGGAAAAACGGGAATTTTGGTTTTTAGTGCAACTCTTTAACAAATTAACGTATATAATTGAAATGTTCACTGGTTGTTTATACTACCATTTTCCATACGATGCACGAAACATTTTTCAAAATATTTTGATTTGTTTTGAACTGCACACGGACATTTTTAGTATCCAATTTTTTTGGTTTTTTTTTTCTATAATTGTCAATTAAATTTTATTTGGAAGAGTAAAAATGTGTAAAAATGTAATAGAAAGCTCCTGGATATATTGTAATTATAGTATTTAAAAAATATTAAAAATACATAGGGTCATTTTTTTTTATAAGCATTTAAAGTTCAAATATTGACAAAATTTATCAAATTTAAAATTTAATAATTATTTTGTTGTTAATTATTTAAAAAAAGTTAAACTTTTATAGCTAGAGATTGAAAATTTAAAACAAGGTTCCACGTAAATAGGTTATATATAAATTACTTTATTCACCATAATATAATCAAATATACTCAATAATATCATAGGCTGACTGACCATTTTCGTTCAGAATCGTTTTTCTTATACGATGATAATATATCATTGAATTCAAATTTAACACCATCCATAACACATTACAGTGACTCACTTTTAACCTACTGTACAGCAGCGCGACTTTTTTTAAACTGAATATTGACATCGAATAATTTATGAGCCCTTACAGTGTTAATATACAAGGGATGATACCTTATATCTGATAAACCAATTTTTTGATCTGGCATAAAAATTAATATAGGTACCCGAACCATTTTTTTAAAGAAAAAACTAAAAATACATTGTTCAATTTTTAGTTTTTTACTCACATTGTTCAAAAACTTTCTCAACATTAAATCAGACGATATATCCTGTCTAAACTCCATGGTGTCTTAAAATATACCTATGTAATTATGTTATAATTGTTTTAATTAATAAAAACAAATTTACTAGGTCATGATAAAATATTAAAATTAGTTAAACCGACACATAATTTACATTTATAGTATAAACTACAAAATTAGGATGTAGTAACTAGTTTGTAGTATTTCTAGTGTACTTTTTACACTATTTATTCCCCAAGCATATTAGATACAATTTTGGTTTTTAAGATAAACTGATCTGACGGGATAAAGCTAATATCCAAAGCTAGGTTCAAACGGAGTTATAATTTGAAAAAGAATGGCTGAATAGTACTTTAGTCCAAATATCAAAACACAAGGATTACATTTATATGACAGCTCCCGGGTCTGCTGAAATAGTATTTAAATGTATTTTATTAGTTTGAATACCTATACATATTATATCAAGTCCATATCTATCATTATTACCATTTAACTATATTACCTTATTTTCTTTTTAGGCTGTCGATTCGTCATTGATAACGACCGTGTCCTACCCCGCCTTCGCCACTCACGAGGACGTGCTGGTGTCGTATACCAAGGCCAATATTGTGAAAAAACTCAAAGGTCGCTATGGGTTTAAACGATTTAAGAGGGATGGTTACAAATGCGCCATTGAGGACAAAAAGAGAAAGTTCTACAATGTCGGGGAAACCAAGGTAAGTGTTATTTGGTTAATGTGAATGATTTAGGAATGTGTAATGTGTTCGATGACACTGCGTCTGCATTCGGTCATATGATATTACCTGTCTTAGGATTTCGAAAATATAGAGAACGAATGGCCGTTATTTTTTCTGTACATGATAATCGATGGAGTGTTCAAAAACTTACCACAACAGGTCAAGGAGTACAAAACGCTGCTGAAGGACGTCATGACCATCGACAGTTTCGGCGGTGTGTTCACATTCTATTAATATACAATAAATAATCAAATTTATCACACGGAAATTCCTTAGCTTTGCTGGTTTTATTCTCCATATTCAACATCCATCTCATGACTGCAGCCCTATTTCTTGCTCATTTAACATTGAAACACTTGCAAAACGGTGACACTCGAATGGACTTAAATCTGGGAAAATTGATTCACCATTCCTTCTTAATTTAATTAACTTTAAAGTCCCTCAACGTACTTTTCGACACTCCGTTCCTTACTATGTTCCTCCTTGTACCTCTAATTATTTAGCTAATGAACCTATTACAAACTGTTATTACTTATAACTTCCCAATGTTGATGTTTCATAATCTACCTTAGGTATCTGATATGTATATTAATCTACGTCATCATTATTTTTCTTTTACACATAAAAATATTAGCATATTAGCATTATATTTAAAAGATATAATTATCAGAGGTTCTCAGCAGTATATTATTATATGTTGTTTGTAAAATTAATATTTAATACTATTTCTTTGTTCTCACTAAAAGATTGTTCATATATGTTTACTTTTGTCAAATGGCTAATCCCGCAAATAAAAAAATAGTTGGTCCACTGATATCAACATAAATGGTGACAAGGATTCTAATAAGATAATAATACAGGGAATTATTTTGTACGTGTGCGCGTTTCACTTTTTTAACCATGTCCCTTTATATCTTCCAACTTACCCAAGTTAATTTTAAAAAAAATTGGACAAGTGGATGTTGCTCTGCTGTACAGTAGGTTACAAGTGGGTCACTGTAATGGATAGTGTTAAATTTCAATTCAATGATATAATATCTTTGAAGAAGAAAACGATTCTGAGCGAAGACGGTCAGTCAGCCTATGATATAACTAAGTATATTTGATGATATGATTGTGAATAAAGTAATTTATATATAACATAGTTACTTGGAACCTTGTTTTAAACTTTCAATTCTTAGCTATAAAAGTTGAACATTCTATACATTTTTAACTATAAAATCATTTTTAAATTTTAAATTTAAAAATATTGTCAAAATTCGAACTTTAAATGCTTATAAAAAAAAAAATGTCCCTTTGTATTTTTAATATTTTTTAAATACTTTAATAACAATATATCCAGGAGCTTTCTATTACATTTTCACACATTTTTACCCTTACAAATAAAATTTAATTGACAATTATAGAAAAAAAAAACTAAAAAAAATGGTTACTAAAAATGTCCGTAAACAGTTCAAAACAAATCAAAATATTTTGAAAATTGTTTCGGGCATCGTATGGAAAATGGTAGTATAAACAACCAGTGAACATTTCAATTATATACTTTCATTTGTTAAAGAGTTGCACCAAAAACCAAAAACAATTTTTGCATAAAAATTCCCGTTTTTCCTTAATTTTTATGTTGTTCTTCCTGGCGCTTTTGAAAGCTATTGGGAAAATTAAATTTTGACCTCTTGAATGCGCTAACAAGATTCACTTCCCCATTGAACAAGATACTGTTGAAGAAATTTGAAGCAGTTTTACTGCCCCAAACGGGGGTGTCAGACAAAAAAAAAACACACATCATTGTAAAATCAAAATACTCATCGCTCCGTTCAGAATCTAATATAATATAATACAAAGCATACATTTTTGATCAATTTTATAGTAAAGTTTCCCTGTTTGATTAAAATTTTGACCGCAGTTGACATATTGTTACAAACTTGTCTATGATATTTATATCATGTCGTTATTGATAAATTAAAACTAATACGAATTATTTAAATTTTTGTAACAAATTATTGATCGGTTGAGTTCATACGCTATTTTCAACCCATATGATTGGTTGGTGGTGGAGCTTACATATGACTCGTTTATGGTTTATCTATACTCTGGGTGGATTATATACATAATATTATTTAACGTACGGCGTATAGGCATTTAGACCACAGAAAGTTAATACGAACTAGTTCCTCGTCACTAAATTTAATTTCATTGAATTTCATCAGTCATTTTATTTTTCAAAATGAACTAGCTTTTCCTATATTTCTATTAATTCGTGTTTGGTCCGTAAGTGTCATTAATTTTTATTTCATATTTATATTAATCATTTGTATCAAATAATATGAATACCTGATGCCAAAATATATCATTGAATATTATTTTTAATTTTACTTTCAATAGTTGTTTCAAACCTAATTTAATATAAATATGAAATTACATCATATAGACGCTGCATTTGCTTAAGAAATAAGATAAATTAAATAATAAATACTTTTTTAATAATCACAACAAAATATAAACCTAATTCATTTTGCTTATACATAACAAACAAACGTGATCATTCGCGGTCTGAATATTTATGGAATTTAAATTGACAAACACTTTGAATGTGTACGGTAATAAACTGTTCACATCTTCATTATCTCCCTCTTGCAATATTTTTCAGATCCATATGTACCAATGTTCTATTATATCACGAAGGAGAACGTGGAATACGAAAGGGCGGACCCCGGCAGTCAGCTGAGGTCGGCCGGTCCCAAGTACGAGGACAGCAAGGCCTCACCGTTGTTCTTGTGGAACCAAGCGTTATATATCATAGCTGAACTGCTCACTTCTAACCTATTGCACATAAACGAACTGGACCCGATTCGTCGATACTTACCGTCCTACAACAGGCCCAAACGGCCAGGTCGTTATTCTGCGTTTCAGGTGAGGAATACAGGCTACATAATTTATGTATTGTATGTGCGCTGTTAATTTGTTTCACGACAAAAGTCCACGATAATCAGTGTCGTAGCCTGTGGGTAGGTATTTAACCCCCATACATTATCCTGGCTACGCCACTGAGTCAATAATATTATATGTTATGGTTATAATATGGCGTACCTTTATGAAAACAATTACGAAAGCGATACCTAATCAATAGTTGTTATTTAATATTTATTTTGTTTCACATGTTTTCATAAACGAACCAGACAAGGCAGAGTTCTGTAAGTAAAACCAATATTTGGACAAAAGCATGGTGTGATTTTGATGCAATCTTTGTAACTTTTATTGTTCATTAATGAACTTATTAGAAACTAACACGATCCTCTCGTATACTAGCATATTATATAATAACATTTCGAGCGGTGGTAAACTCTCCTGTATCAATATTATGTTTGCCTGAAGGAAATGTGTATACTCTGCCGGATCAACATTGGTTTTACCTAAAAGAAATTGTGACCTATCAATTCCACCAATATAGGCTTTACCAGTATATTCAGTTCTAAAAACAATCTATCAATTCCGCCACTTACCAATATTGACCATACCTGCTGTCAACCTGTTTGGCTGTTTCTTTCTTAATTTTTTAAATAATATATTCATATTTTACTTAGTTAAAAAACTAATGTTTTCAGAAATAATAACTCAAGTAATTATGTGCTTACATAAAAACAGATATATTATAAACAAATAAATGTACAGTCGTTTCCCGGTAGATTTTCACGGTGGCGGCGGCCCTTTTTAGTAAGTGTAACCCAAACTATAGCCACGGTGTGTTATAATCGATAAGTTGTTTTTAGAACCACCTGTACTTGTGGAATTGATACCTATACTTTATCCCCTAGTATAGTTCCCCTGGTGGAATCTCTATGAAATCCCTAGGAAATATTATATTAACTCTCCCTAGTTATTTTAACATTATGTCGAAAACAATAATAGACTAATACAGACCACCGAAAAAATTGACACCTTTAAAGGACGTTTCACATTTGTCGTCTCTGTCTTACACAATAAATGTACGGCATAGGAAAAACTGTTTTGCGCGGGAAAGAACGAGAAAGCTACAGTCATAACTAAGAAACGAAATTTTCACCACCCTGAAAAAGGAGAACTTTGGCTATGCAATATCGTTTTCATTTTTTAGTTATCGGAACTTCAAAAAAGCTATTTAAGTTTAAAAACACAAATAAAAATGGATTTTGAAACAATAAGGCATTTTTTCTTATAAGTGATATGAAGAAAATAAAAACGATATTGCACAGCCAATGTTCTCCTTTATATGTGGTAAAAATTTCGTTTCTTAGTTATGACTGAAGCCTTCTCGGTTTTTTCCCACGCAAAACAATTTTTGCTACGCCGCACCTGAGTAAGACGGAGACAACAAATGCGGATGAAACGTCCTCTTAAATTTTTTAAAATCTGTATGTTTATATTATCATACAAATTGATTTAAATTAGTAACTGCTATTTTTATTAGGTACCTATTTACTATAATTTAAATAATTTTTTTTTTTAATAAAATTGAAATGTATATTCAATTTTAAAAATCTGTGTGCTCATATTATTATATATATTATTAAATTATAATGATACAAATGTATAAACAAAATTATTACAGACTCGGGAGAGCTTATATGTACCCTTCACTCCATGGTAGTATTTAAGTTTACCTGGGAGAGTTTACATGTAGCCGTCAGGTAATACTAGAGTAGACCCGGGAGAGTTTACAAGTGACAGAAATTTCATCGGTATTTTTATACTTCATGGCTTCTTTGGTCCGACAAATCTTTTTTTGTTGCTGATTTTGAAATATTAATTAAATATACAATATTATTTATATATATTTTTTTACATTGGAATAAAATAAAATAAAAATCTTTATAATGGATGTACGTAAAATAGCTTGAGACATTTTATAGTCTCAGTTATATATAGGCTCAGTAATTATTACTATCTATAAAGCAAGTGCATAAAAATAAAAACCTACTTATCAATACTGTTTCTGAATAATTAGAAAGTTTGTCTAATTTATGTTTTGTTCATATTTTAAACAACTAAGTTTTCACATGTACGAGTAAGCAGGATATGTGGCATACAAATATGTAATACTTAACTAGTTATTTAGAAAAAAAGAATCTATTTGATTTCACAATTTTAGTGTTTGAAAGTTCCTAATAATATTTGGTTGTCGAAAATATCAATATTTATGTAAAAATTAATAATAGAAGAGTTAATATTTATTTCTTGGGGTACTCTTTATTATTCTAACGGGTGTTACATCCCCGCGGACCTCAGTCAACCAGGTATAGGTGTAGCTTGAAGGATGTCAGGATAGTCTGTTTTAAGTAAGTGCCTACTTAGATCATAGCACTGATGCACCTCTACCACCATGTTGGGCCCTCCATTAATGGGCGTTGTTATTGGGCCAACAACTCAATTCTCGAAAATCAACAGTTAAGAAACAACCACAACAAAAGCTTCGGAAAGTAAGATCATTATACAGGACTAGAACACTGACAACAGTAGTATCTGAACTTGACAGATACGGGTTGGCTTTATTAGTGGTTCAAGGGAATAGATGGCCTGGAATAGGAAACCCAAAGACACAGAAAGCGACCTTTTTCTGCTGCAGAGGTAACTCACACCAGAAAGGTGTAGGCTTTCTAGTAAGCGATAATACACTGTCAGCCATCAAAAAATTTGTGCCAATAAATGATAGAATATATTATATAGTAGCGAAAAGTCAGTGGTTTGACATCTCATTTATAAATTAGTATGCCCTAAAGAGGATAAAGTTAATGAGATTAAAAATAATTTTTATAGTCAGATATATTAACAGTTTACGACTCTATCCCAGGTAACGTAATCAAGGTAGTGAAGGGAGATTTTAATGGCAAAGTTGGCAGAGAGCAACGGTACCGAATGGTAATTGTAAATGAAAGTTTACATAATATCTCTAATAATAATAGTGAAAGTCTGATATCTTTTGTGACGACAAAGGAATGACAATTTCAAGTACGCAATTTCAGTATCAAAACATCCATAAACACACATGTATGTCACCAGGAGGCTCTGTGAAGAATCAGATAGACCATGTGATGATCGATCCAAGAAGAAAACGATATATACTAGACGTAAAGAGTTGTAGGGGGGTACGTGGAATTTTGGACCATATCCTTGTGCGAGTTAAGATGCATATAAGATTATCAGTTGATTGGAGAACTAAAGAAACCACAACCAAGAAATTCAATATTGTGAAACTAAAAGAGCAGACCGAGAAAATTGCGTACATAGAAGGTGTGGATAAGCTAGGTTAAAAGAAAATCATACAGAAGTAGACCAATTATGAGAAAATATAGAAAATTCTATCAAAAAGGTAGCTAGTGAAACACTAGGGTACAAATCAAAAGATAATAAAAAATAATGGTTCAAAAACAAATGCAAGCTAGCAATATCGAAACGAAATGTGGCAAGATTGAAACTAATCAAAACTCCTAACGAAGATAACAAAAGGCAATTAGCAATCAACAGCAAGAACTAAAAAAGGTAATTCGAACCGAAAAAAAGACAGCGAAAAATGAGATATAATAGATAGATACAAGATATAGAGACGAACAATAAGATAAATGTAAAATTGTCTTTTGCTAGATGCAATGAAATAAAAACAGGTTATAAACCCAGAATGACTATTCTGCAACAAACCGATGGAAGACTGATTACGGATTTATCAGATGTGATGGAAGAGTTTAGAGAGGTGTTCGAGGAACTTCTAAATAAACCAATGCCAGATTAAGAGAATCATCGGGTAGTATCAGCTGAACAACAGCTGAATGGACCAACAAAAGAAGAAATACAAATGGCAATTGAGATGCTTAAAAATGGAAAGGCCCCAGGAGAAGATAACTTATCTGCGGAACTCATTAAACATGGGGGAACACAATGGAACAATTAATAAATAAGATATGAGAAGAAGAAAAATACCTGAAGCTTGGACACTGTCAATTATATACCCCATTCACAAGAAAAGGATATAATTTATTGTTGGAACTATAGAGGGATATCACTTCTTGACACATCATACAAGATCCTATCAAATATACTTCTCATCAGACTAAAGCCATGTGGTGAGGAAATATCAAGCAGGTTTTTGAGCTGGAACTCAATTCACACCATCAAATAAATAATGGAAAAGAGTTACGAATATAATCAGGATCTCTACATGATATATATCGACTATAAACAAGCGTAGACTCCATAGTGAGAGAAGAGCTATGGATAGCAATGGAAGACCTAGATGGCACCATCAAATAAATAATGGAAAAGAGTTACGAATATAATCAGGATCTTTCCATGTTATTCATCGACTATAGGCAAGCGTATGACTAAATAGTGAGAAAAGTGCTACGGATAGCAATGGAAGTCCTATCAAGTTAATTAGACTGATAATATCATGTTTAAAGAACTAAAAATGCAAAATTATGCACTATATAAATACTGTCTCCCATGTTTTTTAATATTGTATATTTTTAAATTGTATATTTTTAATATTTAATATGTATATATAGTGGTTAGAGGATTGTATGACACTGACAAATTCATTAAACTCCTAAATACAAATATTAACTTCTTAGCATATGTGGACAAATTGTGCTATTTGGCAAGAGAGATGATGGAATTAAGACTTAAGCAGAATTACTTAAAGAGAGAAGCAAATTAATGGGACTAATGGTAAATGAAGGAAATACAAAATATATGTTATTATAGTGCAAAAACTATAACCAACAAAGCCTAGTGGTGAAGAGTATGCTTTTCGAAAGAGTTAATATATTCAAATATCTTGATATTTATATCTAAATATCTTAATTAAGAGCAGATGGAGATAACCATACAGAAATCCAAAAAAAAGAATTAATTCAGCCAACAGATGTCTCTTCGCCCTAAAACCTGTTTTAAATTCTAAGTTTGGCTCTTTTAAAACAAAAACTATACCATACAATTGTTTTATACGAGAGTGAAACATGGACTACTACAAAATCAGATGAGCAAAAAGTAGCTATTTTCGAGAGGAAGGTGCTAAGAAAGATATTTGTCTCAAAAAAAGATCGCTCAACCGGCCTGTGGGATCGACAGACCAATCTATAACTTAAGGAATTAATCAGCGTGGCAGACATAGTAGCAACGCTGAAAAGCAATCGTATTAGCTGGGTAGGACACATAAAGAGAG